GTATAACGGAGGTACCAATAACTGGGTCTTTACCTCCTCAGTCTGTTTATTGCATTCAACTTGCTAGAGGCATACTTCACAGATTATGAAATGGGACCACTGCCTCGGACATCAAAATTTCATCATTCATAGCAGGAATTTGATCATAAGCCCTACTCATTGTAGGATTCCCCCTGTCCCCCATTCACAGACTAAATCTGCATCACGAGTCAGGGCTTCCAATTCTCGCAACAGTCATCCACTGGCTACTGCCTGTTTGCATCCTGGATGGGTGTCCAGTGGGCTTCAAACTCCTCTCCTAGAGATCCTCTGCTTCTCTTAACTCAACTAGCCCTACCAGTCCAGAACCAATCCCAGGTGTTGAGACTGTGTCAGTGGTTGCGGTCTCTGGTTTTCCTATCTTGTGGATAATTTCTCGAAAGTACCACCAATCCCAGCCAGTGGCAGACCAGCGTTGAGGATATAGCCACCGGGAGGGTATCCGTATGTCGACCCATAGTCTTCTGGAGTAGGCCGTCACATCCCCATATATGCACTGGAGGAAGATGGTTGGGGTAAAAGGGACTCCAGGTGAGACTAAGGGAATCTGTACCAAGTTCTGGCCTCATCCTGAGTCCAACAGACCTTTCACTTTTGTCCTCCTGATCCGTTATTTTGGTGGGTCCTTACTTCTATGCTATTCTCTGCTGTCCATACCTCGGCATACTCTTACTCCAAAAGGGGGCATTCTCTTGGGTTCCTAGCTGCCGACACAAGAAACAGGTTAGCATGCTATGGTGTGAGCTCATTCTCTTGATCAAAGTCAACCCTGCCTGTTGTAGGGGTCTGGCATTTAAATCCGTACTTAGTCTCAGTAGCTGGGACAAGGACCAACTGCCCTGGTTAAGTTTTTCCAGTCCGCTCCTCGCCTGTCGCTGTGAATTGCTCAGAGTTGGGGTGAGGAGGTGTCATCTTAACTGAAAGGGAGCATACTTGACATCTTCTGCTGATCAGGGACATCTCCTGACTGGGCTTCACATCAGACTGGTCAGCTTTCTAGCCCCAGAATGTCCTTCCCCCAAATCCCTGGAGGTTCCTCAGCAGCCATCAAGTTTTCCTTCACCTCAGTTAAAGACCCTGGGTAGTCCCCCAGTGGGGATTATTCATATGAACTGCTCAACCAGTATTAACTCGTCCACTTGAGCTCCAATTTGCTCCTCTGGCTGCAACCACCGCCAGCAAATGGCCCTTCAATTTCTGAGCCATCCCCTGTGGCCATGCTCCCCGCAGATATGTTTCTGACTGGAAGCAGCAGCTGTCTCTCTCTTCACTAATATAGAAAAAGTCCATCATGGCAGCCTTAACCAGTGTATAATTCTGTGCAGCCACTGGGTCAAGCTCTTGGTAGTCTGCCTGTGCTGGGCAGGGTCCAATGCTCTGGAGGCATTGGGAGGCCACTGCCATCTGCTCTAAAGTGGACATCACAGAATCTTTCTTGACATCAGGACCCATTTCAGTCAACTTCATATGTAACAGTGGCAGCACTGGCCCTGGGCTCACAGCCAACTGCTGGACTCCCGGCTGCCCCATCAGTCACTATTGTACCAAGTTTTGTTGCAGGTCTTCTGCTTAGTCACCATCTCTCATAGCAGCTGATGTTGTTGGCTCATCTGCAGCTGTTGCTGGGCACCCAACTGTTGCAATAACTGCTGAAGGAGCTGTTGTTACTGAGTTGCCTGTTGTTGCTGGCTCTCCGTCAACCACCTGCACCACTGCTCTGGACCCATGCTGCTTGGGTTCTCTATCTCTCACGTGCATGGGCTTTCAATCTCCCCCAGTTTACCCTTGTGTCAGATTTAGGAAGTGAATGCCCACATTCTCCACCATGTCATAGATTGTATTTCTAAGACATCCCTTTGGGGTGAGGGTGGGCACCTCTCTTGTCCCAGACATCCTTCTCTGGCTGTAGGCATTGATGTACTGCCTATTTGGAGTGTGAAGTGGAGCCCTCTGGCTGTTAGTCTTAGGCTAGGTCTACACTACCCGCCTGAATCGGCGGGTAGACATCGACCTCTCGGGGATCGATTTATCGCGTCCCATCGGGACGTGACAATCGATCCCCGAATCAACGCTCTTACTCCACCAGCGGAGGTGGGAGTAAGCGCCGTTGACAGGAAGCCGCAGAGGTCGATTTTGCCGCCGTCCCTACAGCGGGGTAAGTCAGCTGCGATACGTCGAATTCAGCTACGCTATTCACGTAGCTGAATTTGCGTATCGACCCCCCCCCCCCCGTAGTGTAGATGTAGCCTTAGGGAGGCAGCTTCCCCTTCCTTCTGGGCATAATAGCAATCTCTGCAAAGGGAGCTGGATTCCTAACCTTGAGTACATTAGGGGCCCAGGCCGCATGCTCTGTGATTTGATGTAAGATAGATAGATAGATAGATAGATAGAAGTAAAGATGGTCCCTCCACCTCTCCAGAGGGTCCAAGCAGCTGAAGCTCTTTAGCAGCTCTGCTGGTAAGCAGTCCCTGCTCCAAGGGGTTTGGGTGATCGGTGTTCCCATTGTGTTTCTCTAAGAGTGCCATCCTGTACTGTGTTTGGCTCCTCCCTTTGAAGGAGCTCCTCTCCAGGTTTGAGGGGCCTCACAGGGGCACTGGCTTTGGGCTGACTGTGCCCACAGGATCTCTTTAACCCCTTCCTCACTGGCCTCCCACCACTGCATAGTACTGGCAACTCTATACCTGACAGTTTCTTAATCACCTAAGCAATGAATTTGACCTTTTCCCCTCCAAAAAGTTTCAGAGAGGAGAAAATAAAACTATCTTCAGAGAGTCTTCCAAGCCTAAGGATAAACATCCCTCTTTTCTTTCATTCATCCTCAAAGCCTTACCCAAAAGACATTGAATTCAGTTCCTGTCTGAGCCAGAATGATGAAAGTCACTTCTTTTCCCATAGGTGGAGCATGTTGCCTTCACAATATTTCCAAGGCTCAAACCTCCCTGCTAGCAAAGGTTTGTGCCCAAATATCTCCATCTCTGGTACCCTGCAACCTGCTAAAAAGCCTACTCACACAATGTGATCGGTGACAAATATATTTAGAAACAAATATAGCTGTCTGAAATGGTACCATTATCAGAACAAGCACAGGACATGCAGTTGTTTTCCAGAACTCAGGCAGTAATGACAATACTTCTGTTGGCAGACGTGATGCCACAGGACCCACCCATGCTAAAGGAGAAACACCTATCTGGCTAATGAACACAGTGTAAATCCAAACTGAACAAGATCTAAAGTTGTGCATGAGTGGGTGGAAGCTAAATGAGGCACAGATCTATCAAAGTTTTGGGAGACCCCCTCAAGGAAGATTCTTACTTCTGCCTCAAGCTTCCACCTCGCTCAGAGAAAAACTCTTCCCTACTAGCCCAGCCCCTCACATCCCTATAAAGAAACTCTTCCTCCCAGCCCCCTAGAATAGATTCCTTTTCCCTCCAACTCCCAAGTCTTTGATCTTTCTGCCAAATTATACAGTTCGGCTCACTCCAGCCACTAGGCAGCCAGTCAGCAGCAATCCAATCACCTGTCCAGCATGCTTCCATTTGTTCTGTCTCGTACTTCACTGCTTTGTCTCAGGGAGTAATCTGTGAGGCCTGACTCTCATAGATTCTGCTTCAGGGCCTGCTCCAAAGCTGACTGAAGCCAATGAGAGCCTTTCCATTGACTTCAGTGGACTCTGGAACAGGCCCTTAATCAGCTCTTGGAGTTGTGAAGAAATATGGATTTAGGACACTAGCTATAAATCCTAAAATAAATGTCACAACTCTAATTGCATGAATGGTGCCACTAGAATTAATCTTATTTTGACAATTCTAAATTTGATTTGACATTAGAATAAAAAAATTAATCTAAATATATTTTATGCCAACCCATAACATTTCCACTTGTAAGGTCTACCATAGGTTTAAAACACTTGTATATTGGCCTGTTTCTGGGACTAACACCAATTTCTTTGGTTCTCGTATAAGCTTATAGGTGCCTCTCTTACTGCTCTGTTAAATTCCATACATCAAGCACGAGAATTCTTTACTTTTGGAAGAATCTTCACAAATTGCACCTAGTCAACACTGAAAAGCAGGAGTGCTTTATATTTCCTTCCATTCCCAATGCCTGGTGCAAGGTAGCACCAAGGAAAATAGCTACTGATTCACCTCTGATTTTTCAGATTCCTCTGAAAAGAGGCTGCTGCCTATTTATCCACTAATAACTTAATATGAAAAAAGCAACAGAGTCCTGTGGCACCTTATAGACTAACAGAGATATTGGAGCATAAGCTTTTGTGGGTGAATACCCACTTCGTCAGATGAAACACCCACGAAAGCTTATGCTCCAAAAAGTCTGTTAGTCTAGAAGGTGCCACAGGACTCTGTTGCTTTTTACAGTTCCAGACTAACACAGCTACCCCTCTGATACTTAGTATGAAAAAACCCATACATTTTCCTCTAAACTGAGCATTCAGAAAATAAAATTAAATGGACTGACTTTCCTCTTATTGAAACAGAGAGTGAGAGAGGAGGGCACACTAGAATTATGACTAGAAATAAATAATTATTAGCAACTGGTGTGGAAAACACAGTTCTGGCCATGATTTTCAAAAATAGATGCCTAAAGTTAAGCTCCTTGGTGTGGGATTAGGCACCTAAATAAGCAGCCTGATGTTCAAGAGTGTTAAGCATAGGGTGACCAGACAGCAAGTGTGAAAAACTGGGACGGGAGTGGAGGGGTAATAGGTGTCTATAGAAGAAAATTACCCAAATATCGGGACTGTCCCTATAAAACAGGGACAGCTGGTAACCCTAGTTAAGCACCAAGTAGCTCCTATTGAATTCAGTTCTCAACCAGCCCCAAATGTGGTAATGAAAATATACCTGAACCTCAACGTTAGGTGTGTTACAACAGCAATATGTAAATAAAAACCTTATAAGATGTCTTAACACAAGGCCATTTAGTGTACAGTGGATCCCTACCTTAGTGGAGAAATAAACGGTACACAGAGCAGTAAAATCACTCCTATTTCAGTATACAGAAAGGTTGCAACTGCTGTCCACTGAAAAGTCATCTTCTCCCTAGACGGCCTGCAGGGGAGGACAGAGCAGTCACTGCAAGTTGGCTTTGAGGCACGCAGGATAAATCCCGCAATGAGCAGAGCTCAGGCTGAGCCAAGCTTCTCCATTTCAAGTTAAATCGGATATTTAAGGCCCAAACGCTCCCTCATCCCCGGGAGGGGCCTCAAGTTGGGTGACTGGGTAAAGGACGAGGATTTTAAGTAACTTAGCCGAGAAGGCGCGCAAGCCTCCCCCTCCCCCTCTGAGGAGCTCGGGCGGCCTCGAGGCTGCACGAACAGCCTCCCCTCCCGCCAGGGCACTGTATTGCGGGCAGCCGCCCAGCGCGCCGCGCTACGAGGGGGAATAACGCCCGGGCCCTGCTGGCGGCTCCTTCATCTCGGGCGTCGGCTGAGACGCCCCCCCCCGTTCCCAAGACAACGCTACTGCACAGGGATCCCCCCACCCCTTCCCCGGCGCGGAGGCCAACGCCTCTGCCAAGCGCCAGGAAACGCCGCCGCTACCGGCCTGGGCAAGCTCCGGAGCATGGAGCTCGGCTCACCCGGGGGAAGCGGGGCCTGCCCAGGCTGCTGGGATGTGCGGCCGAGGCAGGGCGGGGGGCCGGCATGGGGCGAGGAGGTGTCAGGCTCTCACTGACTCACACGGAACAAAATCCTCCCTCCCGCCTCGGGGCCGCCGCGGAAACCTGCTCCAGCCCCCCGAGCGTGAGGCGGCCGGGCCTGACTGAGGCGGGGCTGACTAGCGACGCCTTGGCCTCCGCACCCGCTGACTGACGCCTGAGGCGGGCAGCCGGGCTCGGTCACAGCCTCCCCGCCCAATGGGAGGCTGGGGCGGGACTGCGGGCGGGGCCCCCAGGGCTGAGGGAGTCGGGGGCAGCGATGCATAAGGGGAGGCGCCTCCTTCTGCCCAATGAGCGAGCTTTGGGAGGGGCCGGGAGCACAACAGAGTTCTGCCCCCCCATAAAAAGAAGAACAGGAGTACTTGTGGCACCTTAGAGACTAACACATTTATTAGAGCATAAGCTTTCGTGGACTACAGCCCACTTCTTCGGATGCTTATTAGAGCATAAGCTTTCGTGGACTACAGCCCACTTCTTCGGATGCGCATCCGAAGAAGTGGGCTGTAGT